ACGATTAACAGATGGAGATCTGTGGTGTAGCATACAAAGAAAAATGTTAATTGTAGATTCTAGGGTTTAGATATATTCTTACTATACAATTAAATTTTTTTATGTTTAAAAATATTTATAATAAAATGTTGAAAAACCATGAAATCCTACCTAATGCAGTAAGATAAGAAAAAGAGATAAAAGGCATATATAATGGTAAGGAAAAAAATAAAACTGTCTTTGTTAGCAGATGACGTGCTCATCTATGTAGAAAATCCAAAAGAATGGACAAAGAAACTCCTGGAACTAATAAGTGATTAGAGCAAGGTTGTAGGATACAACGTTAATATACTAAAGTCAATCACTTTTATACACCAATAATGAGCAAGTGCAAACTGAAATTAAAAACAAAATAGTTTACATTAATGCCCCAAAACTACATACTTACGTTTAAATCTAATAAAATGCATATAAGATTTTTATGAGGAAAACTGCAACCCTGATGACAGAAATCAAAGAGGAACTAAATAAATAGACATAAGTAAGTATTCCCCAATAAAACTCAATATTATCAAGATGTCGGTTCTTCAAAATTTGACCTACAGATTTATGTAATCCTAATCAAAATCTCAGCAAGTTATTTTGTGGATGTTGACAAACTTACTCTAAAGTTTAGATAGGGAAGCAAAAGGCCCAGAACAGCTAACACAACAATATAGTAGGAAAATAACACATTTGGAGAATGGATACTACTCAACTCCAAGACTTACTGTAAAGCCACAGTACTCAAGATAGTACTGTACTGGTAAAAGAATAGACAACAGATCAATGGAACAGAACAGAGAGCCTAGAAATAGACCTTCATAAATACAGTCAACTGATCTTTGACAAAGTAGCACAGACAATACAATGGAGTAAAATCGTCTTTTCAACAAATGGTGCTGGAACAACTGGACATCCACATGCAAAAACAAACAAAGAAGCATGAGTACAGACTTTATGCTCTTCACAAAAATTAACTCAAAATGGATTACAGACCTGAGTGTAAAATTCAAAGCTATAAAACTCCCAGAAAACAACACAGGATAAAACCTAGATGACCTAGGTATGGCTATGACTTTTTAGATATAACACCAAAGGCCTGGTCCATGAAAGAAAGAATTGCTAAGTTGGACTTAATTAAAATTAAAACCTTCTGCTCTGCAAAGGACCACATTAGGAGATGGAGGAAATATTTGCAAAGACAAATTTGATAAAGGATTGTTATTTAAAATGTACAAAGCCCTCTTAACAGTAAGGAAACAATCTGATTGAAAAATGGGCCAAAGATTTTAACAAACAAAAGAAGATACACAAATGGCAAGTAAGCATGTGAAAGCAGCTGCACATTATATGCCATCAGGAAATGCAAATTAGAACAATAACAAGATACCACTATACACATATTAGAATGGCCAAAATTGAGAACAATGACAGCACCAAATACGGAGGAGGATGTAGAGCAACAGGAACTCTTCATTAATTACTGGAGAGAATGCAAAACGGTACAGCCACTTAGGAAGACAGTTTGGCAGTTGCTTACTAAACTAAATGCTTTTACAATCCAGCAATCACACTCTTTGGTATTTACTGACGTCCACACAAAAACCCTCATGTGGAGCAGCTTTGTTCATAATTGCTAAAACTTGGAAGCAACCAAAGATGCCCTTTAGCAGGCAGTAAATAAACTGGTATATCCAGACAATGGAAATATTATTCAGTGCTAAAGAGAAATGAGCTATCAAGTCATGAAAAGACACGGGAAAAACTGTATCACTAAGTAAAAGAAGTCAATCTGAAAAGGCTGCATATTATAAGATTCTAAAGATACTACATTGCAGAAAAGGCAAAACTGTGGAGACAGTAAAGATTGCCAGGGGCTAGGACAGTGGGAGGGATGAACAGGCAGGGCACAGAGGATTTTTAGGGCAGTAACACTACTCCGTATGGTACTATAATGTTGGATACATGTCCAGATCCACAGAACGTACAACACCAAGAGTGAACCTTCAACTATGGACTTTGAGTGATGAGGATGAGTCAGTGTAGGCTCATGCATTGTAATAAACGCACCACTGTGGGGGGTATTGATAATGGGGGGAGCGCTATGTATGTGTAGGGACAGGGGTAAATGGGAAATCTTTATACTTTTGTTACCAGTGGAGGGTGTACAGCATTTTGAACAAAAAATTGGACAAATGCACAAAGCAAGGAAAGAATGGAAGCAACAAAAGCAGAGATTTATTGAAAACAAAAGTACACTCCACAGGGTGGGAACAGGCCTATGCAAGTGGCTCAAGGGCCTGGTTACAGATTTTTCTGGGGTTTAAATACCCTCTAGACGTTTCCATTGGTTATTTGGTGTACACCCTATGTGAACTAAGAGGCTAAAGTGAAGTTAGTTACTTGGTGTACACCCTATGCAAATGACAAGGATGAAGTGAGGTTACAAAGTTTTTTACTTGTTGTAGAAAATTGGGGTTTTTCTCTTTGATTTAGTTGTAGGAAGCCCTTAGGTTACCTGCCTCCAGATCCTATTCTCCTGCCTCACTTTCTTCCTAATTTTGCTGTGAACCTAAAATTGCTCTAAAAAATAAAATTTTAAAAAAGAAAATAAACACAAATTGCAAATAAGTATCACTTACAAAAAAACAGTTAACGTCCCCATATCAGGAAGAAAACACCTATGATTCAATGTAAAAATGCTAAAAAGTACCAAGAGAAATGCCAAGGCATCAAAATTCACAGAAGCAGAAATAGGCAGTAAACAATGCTCAATCTCATTTATCTGAGAAATGAAAAGTATTTCAGTGACACACAAAGGAGTAACAAGCATTTTAGGGACAATTTAAAAAATAACACGTGACGTGGCTCGGGAAAGATTCATATTCTCACTGTAAGAAGGTAAGTGAATCATTTTGGAGGTCAGTTTTGGAACTTAGAAGTTCAAATGCATCTACCGTTTTTCTACTTCTAGAAATGTATCTTCAGAAGTGCCCTTCCCTCCCTCACACACCCCTAAGTGTACAGAGATAAATGTCACAGATGTGAACTGCAGTCTAATACCAAAAATTAGTAAACAACCTAAAAATCTATATCCATGAGGATTTAAAGCAATCCTGCACAAGTCAGAATAAGGTTGATGCCTGTGTAATTCGTGTATAGAAAATAACAAACTGGTTGTTAGATGAAAAAAGCAAGCTGTGAGTGATTTAATGTGCAAATGCAGTAAGCAAAATACATTATATACATATATATACACACGCACATAGTTTACACACACAGTACTTTCTCATGCATTTACCTTATGAGAGTGTGATGCCTCCAACTGCATGGCTGTGGCTCCAAAGCAGGACCTTGTAACAGAGCCTCTGCCCTGGACTGTTCCTGCTCTGAGGGGCTTTCCCCTGGGAAAAGAACCAGGTTTGATTTTCGATCTCTTTTGTTATCACCACGCTGACAGATTTCATTGTCATATGCCTTTCCCTCTGCTGTACTGATTTTATCTTACAGAAGTACTTCTTAATGCTTAATCAGATACTCCTTTTCAAAGCGAAGCCAGCCATATTCCCTGGTCATCTGGTTGAGCTCGAGGTGAGTCCTGGGGATTGTCTGCCTCCTACCAGCCTGATGCTCCAAGTGGTGAGGAGTGCCTCTTGGCTTTTTCAAGCAACTCAGAGATGTGCCAGGACTACAGATATTGGCTCTTCCAAGTTCCTGGAGAGTGACTCAACGCCTCTGTTATCACGACGTGTCACACAGGCTATGTACCCACAACTCTACAAGCACCCTTCACCTTGACAAAGATTTTGCAAGCTTTTTCTATAAAGGGGCACACGGCTTTGTAGATGATTCAATCTGTCCTATAATTCAACTTTGCCCTCTGTAGCAGTGAATCAGCCATAGATAATACGTAAGTGAATGCACATGGTTTCTTGCTAATAAAGTTTACTTACAAAAACAGCTGCCTTTGAGCAGTTTGCTACCCCGACACAGACTGTGGGGAGTCCCTGGTGTTGGCGAGTTGTAGGTAGCCCAGTACCCCATCAGTGTCGCTGGTGCCATCCCCTCAAGCCTGCCCACACCCAGACCCTTTCTGGTGTCCCTTCAGAAAAACTCCCAAAATTCTCAAAAAGCATAGCGGAGCCACTACCCTCACCTTCTTACAGGGGAGGGTTCTTCTTCCAGTTCCTCCCTCCTCAGCATGGAGCTCAGGGCCATCCCTGCCTCCTCTTGGCCACAAGCACAGACCTTCCTACACAGGCTCAGCAACTCTGCGGACTTGCCCCCCACCTGGAGCCACAGGCCTCCACTCCTGGGGACACAGGTATGACCATGGCTCTGCAAAGCAGCCTTGTGCTTAGCTCCCAAATCGGCCAGCAGCCCAGAGTGGAAGAATACTGTGGATCACCACCAACCCAGCAGCTCATCTGGGAAAGTCTGGCTTCCCTCCCTTCACCTGTGCAACCCGACCCTGGCCATGTATGTGGCAGAAAAGCTGCAATCTGCCCTCAGCACTCCCAGCCCTGTGGGTGGTTTGGTATCTGAGCATCGTGGCACTGCCTTCCCTCTGAGGCCTTGCCAGAGCCAGGGGATACAGCCTGGCAGAGCTGTCACTGGTCTCTCTGGTGCTTTCACAGCTGGGCTGTGGGTCAGGAGCGAGTTTCCATGGATAAGGCTGGTTCATAATCAAGTGCTCTGCAGTCATGTGGCAACACAGACTCAAGTATGCCTTCCCTCAGGGTGGTGAGCCCAGGTAGGGTCTGGGTGTTTGAAGCAAGCACACCTGTGACAAATCTCTGTTTTCACTCCCATCCCACAAACTCATCCAGACACCTCCGACCCACTGCCAATACACACGTGTCTGAGGGACGCTGAGGAAAACAGACACCTCCAGGAGCCATGTTCTTTCCTGACAACACTGCTGGAGTGCCTACCAACGTCCCAGGCCTCCCTGCAGGGAAACACTCTAGTGGTGAAACTCCTTTTTAAAGAAAGGCTTTATTGCTGCAATTAGACATCCCAGTGTATAGCACAAACCCCCCTTTACAGAGAATTATTCAAGTGGTAATACTGAGAAACAGTGAACATACACAAAAGAATACAAAACTAGACATTTAGATTACTAGAAATTTTCTAAGAAAAATTTGAAATGTGAAGTGCCTTTTAGAAACTACACCACATAAGCCAGTATAAATTTGGTTTAACGATAAATTTCCATAAACACTGTATCTAACTGTGCATTGATCAACTGCACAACTTCAACAATTACTTTCCAAGACAAAGATAAATGCTTTTAGTTCCCTATGTTTTGGTCTTTTCTTGGGCTAGAGATGTAAGCTGCATGTTTTAAGCCAGATTCAAAAGGGAAAGTACTTTAAATGTGTATTTGCCTCCAGCCATATCCACAGCCTCACGGATCTCACTGGGTTGGTCCCAGGCCTTCTGCAGCCCTATAGCCCACACCAGGGATGCAGAGGCAGCCCTGGATCGTGTAGGCATCAACTGAGGCTCCCAAACTGGCCCAGGTGCCTGAGGCGGGCATGCCTATGGCCAGGTAGGACACATGTGCAGGTTTGAAAACTAGGTCTACATGACCGAAGAGTGGACTGAAGCAAAAAGGGGAGAAACATTAGAGGCCTAGAGTAGGAAGATACCTTTTATAGGGTTTTCAGGAAATTCTTACAATAAATCTGGGCACAAAAATCAAATTGCTGAGGCCAAAAGCCTGCATATGGTACTGTGACTTATGGGGAATAGAGGCCAAATCAGAGAGGGCTGGCTGGTGATACCCCAGACCACTTGCCTCTTCCCCTTCCCTGGCCCTGAGATCTCATTCTGGGCTTCTATATGGGTCAACCAAATGCGATCCTTTCACTAAAGCTGGGTGCAAAATAGGGGGCATGAAGCGGGGGGAAGCTGGGGAACACAGAACCCAAAAGAATTGAGGGAGCAAGTTTACCCAGGTTATTGCAGCACTGGCAGAGCTGGTGGTGCCCACACCAGATGGGAGTACCACACCCCTGCCAGGCTTTGTGCTTCACTGCTAGATGCAGGGGGCTAGGAGGGTCTGATGAATCAGGAGCTGAACTAGAATCTTCAAGAAAAAAAAAGGCAAGGGGGTAGCTCTGTGTCCTGCTAGGAGGGGAAATAAGAATGCGTGCAGATTGTCCACAGTGAGGCCAGAGATGGTAAGATGGTATTAGGCAGAAAAGGGAAAGGGCTTCCCATGAGAATCTGCTTGGGCATGGGAAGGGTACAGGGCTCAGTTATAAAGGCACCTTTGCCATAGTGGGGTGCCAGCCACACTGGGTGGGCTGCCCAGGGGCTGTCCCTACCTAAGCACTCTCCTGTCTACAGGAAATCTTGGTGCTTTTCAAGTTCAGCATAAGGGGTTCCATATATGAAGCAGGGATTCACACTTAGAAAATCTAATCTGGTACTGCTGGAGGGTGGCAGGAACGAGTATACAGAATCAGGGGCCTTGCCTGAGCAGTTCCTCAGGGACACTGGCAGGGCGGACCTGGAATTCAGCTCCCCTGAGTGGACAGTCTGTGGTTACCTGGGGTCCCCAGGCTGAGAAGTGGTATGGGTAATTGCACTTTGGGGTACAGTGAACACAGGCATGGGCTGTAGGTGGCCTGGGAGATAGAGAGGGGAGGCTGACCTGTTTTCAGGAGCTGGCTTTGGCTAGACAGTGCCTGCCCAGCCAGAGGAAGGCCACAGCAGAGCCACTCCACAGACTAAGACCTGTGTTGCCAAGGAAATCAGACACCGGCTTGGAGGAGACAGGAGGGCAAAGCCTGCTGCCATTAAGCCCAAACCACAGCTCAGAGATGCTTCAGCATTCTGGCCTTCAAAACAAACTCTAGGACTTCCACTCTGAAAGGCAAATATATCATCTTGTGTTTGCTTCATCCCCTTAGTAGCAACAAAGTGCAGGGCAAATGAAGCGCCTAAGGCCCAGAGAGACTGAGGGCAGGACCCCCAGCATCTCCCGCCTCCTCCCTGCAGGCTGGGTGAGAGAGTATCCTGGAGAGAAAGCATCTGGACTACTTATATTGTATTTCAGGCCCCCCGGCAACTTTCCCAGAGGTAACTATTTGCCTGGCACTAGGAAACTGGGTTTGAAAAACAGAATTTTGGCCGGGCGCAGTGCTCACGCCTATAATTCCAGCACTTTGGGAAGCCGAGGCGGGTGTATCACGAGGTCAAGAGATCGAGACCATTCTGGTCAAAAAGATGAAACCCCGTCTCTACTAAAAATACAAAAAAATTAGCTGGGCATGGTGGTGCGCACCTGTAGTCCCAGCTACTCGGGAGGCTGAGGCAGGAGAATCGCTTGAACCCAGAAGGCGGAGGTTGTGGTGAGCCGAGATCATGCCATTACACTCCAGTCTGGGTAAGAACAGCAAAACTCCGTCTCAAAAAAAAAAACAACAAAAAACAAAAAACAAAGAAAAACAGAATTTTAAGCAGACTTTTTAGAGAGACAAGGCCATTTGATGGTAGTGATTTGGTTTTATGAAAATGGTACAGGTGGTAATAATCCCTGATGACAGAATGGACCGAAAGTGGGGCCAAGGGCCCCGAAGGATCCTGTTCAGTCTGGTTAAGGCGACAGCTGGGCGGGTGTATGGCCGGGTAGCAGTGGCACAGCAGACCCTGGCAGTGTGCTCATACCTGGCCCTCGTCCCAGAGCCAGCCTGCCTGCCTCATGGCCCTGGCAGTGACTCCACAGAACCTCCATGAGCAGAAGCCTCACAATGAGCCAGTGCCCATCTTGCGTGCAAGGGAGAACCTGCAGTGCATACAGCCCAGCCAGGGTGGCACATGGCTGCTTTTTCAATGTGAAGCCAGCACCAACTGGAGAGATTTACCATAAAGCAGTATTTTTAAAATATTCGGTTTTGTTGTAATTACTTCCTTTCCTTCCATTTAAATCTCAAAAACTCTTCTTTTTCAGTGTTGACGAAAAGAAATGTATGGGTCAGGTCTATGAAATAACACCTTGTCATAAAACAGGCTCAAAAGCATAGGAATCATGCTTTAATTGCCATTAAGAATCCATTAATTTCCATGAGATCTGTGATAAAAAAGCATCCGGCCTATTTGTCCTGTCTTAAAGTCATGAGTCTGTTTTATGAACAGAACGAATGCCATGCTTCTTAGCATATATAAGGCAAAGTGGGTTTTTGATCGGTCATGTTGTAAAGGAGATAACAAAGGTAAGGAAGGGAAGATTTGTAAGCGAGACTTTTTTTTTGAGTGTCAATCCCACTGGACACACATATTACAAAATAAAAATTCTCTTCTGTAAAGTGCTGTTTGCTCAGTGAATCATGCGCCACCACAGAGCACCACGGCCCCATCTGCTCAAGAGCACGGAGGAGGCAGCACTGGCAGAGGGCAGGCTGGAGTCTGTGTTTGGAGGCCTGTTTCAGTACCGCCTCCTGGGGCTCTCCGTGGTATGGAGGGAATCCTCTCAGCATGGCTAGACATTCCCCAAGCTCTGTTCCAGGCTGGGGACCAATGTAAGCTGGAGGCAGCTGCATATTAGGGCCTGGGTGCCCCTGCTCCTGCTATTCCATTGGAATTGGCATTTTATGCTCTCATTCTGCTCAATACCATGGGTCGGAACTCCGCTGGCCCCCCATTGTGTCATCATGGAGCCTTCCACCTTCCCTTCCCACAGAGCTGCCAGGCAGAGGCAGGACCCAGGCATGCCCGGCCCACAGGAGGGCTTTCTAGGAGGGTTTAGAAAAAAGAGAAGCCACTATAAATAGTCACCTGCCCAGTCTATGCTATTAAAGGACATAAGAAAGGTACACAAATTGGCAGTAAACAATTTCCTTCGGCTCTTCATGAATGTCCAGGAAAATGACAACCCGCACACAATCAGACATGAATGATTTCTGGTCCAGTGTCTTCAGGCTCTGTGCAACAAGAAGAGTTTGTGTCGGAATGACAGATTCCACGTCCATCTTTATTTTCAAAGTTGGGCTCTGTTAGTGCAGATTTTTCAAAAATATTCTTTTTGCTTGTTTCTGGACAGTTTTGAACATAGATCACTCTATTATAGGCCTTGAGTCTCTTCCACAATTGCACGTATACTTTACACTGAACATACATAAAAAGAAGTCCTCCAGTGAAGCCGATGGCCACAACTACCAATTTAGTCCAAAAGGGCCATTCCAGGATTCCTGGAAGGGAAAAACTCAGCCTATTAGATATTATTTAAGACCTGAATTAAAGAAAACATATGTCTGAACTTCCCATTACCAACTGATTTTTTTTTTTTTTTTTGAAGAGATGGAGTCTTGCTACATTGCCCAGGCTAGAGTGCAGTGGCTAGACCACACATGTGATGGTGTGATCATGGCACACTACAGCCCTCAACTCCTGAGCCCCAGCAATCCTACTTGCCTCAGCCTTTTAAGTATCTGGGATTATAGGACTACGCCACTGACCAATGGATTCACAGCTCATCAAATGTGGCTTAAAGAAGAGTGGAAGACAGTGTCCAGCTACTTCCTGCTTTTCTAGAACACAGTTTATGGAAATTCTCATGCTCCAGAATATGAACTCTCTGACTGGGTTTCAACAACTACCACCACAGCAAAAGAAATGCCAAAAAGGAGGCCTGGTGCCCCTTAACTGCTGTTCCTCCTCTAGAAACCCAAACTTTTTTGGCCTGACTGGAAAATCCTCTGACCCCAGGACTCCTGTGAGCCATCCTCGCCTCAGGGGCTGAGCTTGCTTTTCAGCCTGGGAACTCACCTGTTGCCTGCCCCTGCTTGATCTCCTCGGCAGTACGGTCAATGAGCACATACAAGGACCAGACCACACATGTGATGGCGATAACGTGGAATGTCACTGAGCACATAATCTTCCTGCGCTCGCTGGCCGTCATCTGCAACTTCTCCCACTGGAAAGACAACACAGAATGTGAGGCTCAGGCTTCTGGGGAAGGGCTCTGGTCAGGTGAGAGCATTGTAGGTGGGTAAACTGGCTTTTTGCCCCACTTCTCCCTTCCCAAACTAGATGCATTTCCCCAAATACCCAAAGTTGTTCTCCTTTAACCAGGTACCAGGTGCAGCCAACTTTCTATGCAATGAAAAGAAGGCGGGAACGAGATGAAACTGAACTATCATCAAAAATCTCCTTGTCTGCTGATTCTTGCAAGCAGACATAAAATGGCCTAATAAAGAATTCTATGATTTCAGTCCTAATGAAAACATTATGTTGGCCCAGAACCCAGATGCTACGTTTTAAGTCTTCCTGTGTTGACTGGCATGGAGGAGCGGAAGAAGAGGGTTGATGATGCCACAACACACTAGCAGATGGCTCACGCTACATCACGAAGGTGAATGGCAGAAGACGCTCACTCTTTGGTCCTCGCTACTTTGGCAGCAACAGCTCGAAATCGACGCTAAGAGTTCTGAGTACAAGCAGACTCTGCCAGTCTCATCTCCTCTAGGAGCACATTAATTTACTCCAAATAGCCAGACTTTTTCATCTACTGGTTTCCGAATCAGGAGAAAACACATAAAGGTAGAGAGAAAGAACAATGTGTAAACACTCCGCACATATCCTTTGCCAATCCTAGTCACAGCCTCTTTCCAGATGGGTCTATGCAAGGTAAGTTGTAAACAGAACCTCAAGGACTTCCTATAGCGAGAGATTAGCATAGAGTAGGCACCCAATAAATTACAAGGCTTCTACTGGGGCAAAACATTTTTTTAAGCACTTTGCGCAAGGCTTCACTAACATCTGGTTGTTTTCTGCTGGAATTTTATATACTAGCAAGTTCCCTGGTCTTCCTCCCTATAACACAGAGTCAGCACCCCAGCGCCCCATGCTCCCTGCTACTTCCTATAACACATGTGGCTTGACACTCTGTTAATGCTCACTCTCACCTTTCTGAGGTATGCTTTACTCCATAGACAGCTTGACCTCTCTAAACTCCTTTCACTCTGCCTTCAAATCCTAGTGATCTTTCAAGAACCACTCTAAAACCCAAACATCCTATGAGGCTACCACGGCTGCACTTCCCCAGACCTCTAGCCCAGAATGAGCATTTCCTTTTCTGAATGACTGATAAGCCCTACCAGCACATCATTTAACATTTAATTAGCTAGTATTTGATTATGTGACTTCTCTTACAATTTATACCTAACGTTTTGAGATAGAACAGTCTTTTATTCTTCCAGACAAAACCTGCTATGCTGGGCAAGAAAGACGTATGAAACAGTCGACATTTAAACTGGAGATCAGGGCTGCAGACAAAGTTCCTCTCAGAGGGAGCAGTGACATGGGCCTCCAGACAGCTGCACGTCATGCAACATCTGTGCTTCCTTTCCTTTCCCCATCCATCTACTCACACTCTAATCCACCAAATACTTATCATGGGTTTATACAAATAAATTTACTGTGTGCTACACAGTGCTGGGTGCAGGGGAGAGATACTGATCTCCAACAGACAGTCCTAATCAAAGCAGCAGGACATCAACAGTTAGTATGTATAAAGTTAGGTGCTAAGATACGTCACAAACAGTCTGTGGTCAAAGGCCAGATGACTGACACTGACAAGCAAGCAGACTTAGTTTGAAGGGAAAAGAAGATTACGAATGGTCAGAAAGAGCTTCTTCCTGAGGGGAGGGACTTGAAAATCAGCACCAGAAACAATCTCTACAATGCAAACATAAGCACCAGCCCCAGCTTTTTAAGGTAATGAATGCAGGCAAGCTATGACCCCAGGATCTGTGACACCAGCTCTCTGAGTCACTGGTTTCAGGAAGGGTGAAGCACTTCTGGGAACATCCCTTCCTTCCACATACTTTTCTCAGCGGCTTCAGCTTGGTCTCCATGACAAACTCGTACTTGCAGAGCTCACAGCATCGCGTGTCGGAGCTCTTGATCCACTGCTGCAGGCAGGCCTGGTGCACAAAGTGGAGGCTTCCTGTGCAGCGGCAGGGGGTGATGAGGGGGCTCTCGTCGTCTCCTTCACAGTGGCATATCCTATGGTGGAAGGAAAACCCATCATTCCAAGGAGAGCTCCACAACAGGGAAGCTGATGCTTCAGTAGAAGGTCAATTCCCCCAAAGAAAACTTTCAGAAACGAACATGACAGAAGTGACTACAGGCACAAAAACATACAAACACAAATGAAAACAATCACTACAAACTAAAAATTTCTAGCTTACCGCACCAACATGGAAAGTCTGGAGGGCATTTGGCAACAAAAAGGAAAAAATGATGTAAGAAATGACAAAGTGGTCATTTTTTGGTAAGACATGAAATTCCTTGAAAGGTGAATTTAAAGCAACATGGAATCATTTTCCAGAACATAATAAATAATTAGAGGGAAAATTTCTATATAAAACAAAACCAGCATTCCAACTTTCAAAATACCAGTGACTTTAAATGATGACATCTGCTTTTTAGCTATAATCACTGACTTTACCCTCATACCCCACAACTACACATTTCTGTTATCTCTCAGGAAGTAAAGAAAGATCACAGTACCTCTCCTAGACCTAAAAAACTCACCATTACAAGATGCTACAATTTCATCTCTTTTTCTTGGGACCACTAATAGCAATAAGTGAGAATTAATTTGAAAGCACTCATTATTTCCAAGGAAGTATGCAGCAAGATATAGCTGTTGGTCTGAAGGAACATAACAGGCTTTTAAGAAACAGAGGGTTCTTTTCCAGCAGCTAGGGGCACCTGTCCTGGAAGGAGCCAGGGTCTCAGGCTATTTGTTTTAGTGGGGGGGGGGGGGGGGCGGGTCTCTGATCCAATTATTAGAAATGGCAACAGCTGGCACTAGGAGTCGAGACTGGGGAAAGGTCAGGAGGAGGAAGGCACAAGAGTCACAAAAAGTGAATTCTGGAGGCCAGACAAGGATCCTGCATAAGGGAAGACAAAGGTGGGAAATGGAGTTAGGGCGGGACGTAGGTGGCTACACTCCAGTGGAAGCAGGGAGGGAAGGAGGGAGGGAGGGAGGGAGGGAGGGAAGGAAGGAAGGGAGGAAGGGAGGAAGGAAGGAAGGAAGGAAGGGAGGGGCGAGCTACTGGAGAACAGCCAGTCCCCACACACCTTTTAGGGGTTGGTGGGGAGCAAGGGTTAAAAAAAAGAGGCTGGGAGATGCAACAATGCTTAAAATCTGGACCATCAGGCTGGAAAGCTGGAGCTACTAATTTCTTTCTTCCAGTTTCTTTATGCAAAGTCTACTTATTTTTAGTTGAGAAGAGTCAGCTTGGCCTTTAATATGTGTAGCTTCTTCCTTTGTTTTTTTTTGGCAAGAGAGTTTCACTCTTGTCACCCAGGCTGAAGTGCAATGGCGCAATCTTGGCTCACTACAACCTCCGCCTTCTGGGTTCAAGCAATTCTCCTGCCTCAGCCTCCTAAGTAGCAGGGACTACAGGCGCCCACCACCACGCCTGGCTAATTTTTGTATTTTTAGTAGAGACGGGGTTTCACCATGTTGGCCTGGCTGGTCTTGAACTCCTGATCTCAGGTGATTCACCCACCTCAGCCTCCCAAAGTGCTGGGATTATAGGTGTGAGCCACCACGCCCAGCCAGCTTCTTCCTCTTTTATCATTTGTGAAACTGTCTTGGGACCCATGTCATAAAAACTAAGTTTTTCAAATGATACTGATACTCCATTCTTCTGGAGAAAATGATTAACCCATAACTGGTTACAACTTCCTATTACTTCATTTTCCTGAAACTTCACATATTAAAGCAAGGTGAGTGAGGCTCCTGATGTGAGCAGAGATGGCTAGAATGGCACTTCCTGGCAAACCAACCTGCAGGCATCCCCTGATGTGGACACAGGAGATACAGGGGCTAATTTTTCAGAGAGGGGAGAAGGACAATCCAGGTCGCTGTCCTTTTCCGTGGAGCAGAGGGGAGCCCGCAGAACCCTACTCTTCAATTTTGCAGATGTGCTGTCCTCAAAGACGTCGTCATCTCCCATGTCGTCAGAGCAGAAGCCCGTGCTCCCTGCCAGCCCACTGGAAGACTTGGCAGTGTGCAGGCGAGCGGTGCAGCTCTCCAGCTCGTGGAACCTGTGCAGGCTGCTGGCGCTCGAGCCACGCGAGAGTGAGAACAGGTACCGGAGCAGTCGCCGGCTTCGGGATGCAGCCTCGCCATCTGCCTTCTCTTCCAGCAGCAGGCCAGGCCTGCCCCCCTTGCCAGCTTCCACCTCTGGGGCAGCTGAGTGACTGGCAGAAAGGCATGAAACACAAGAATGTTTGGAATTGCCAAGAGGTTTGTAGTTCAGGGTTCTTTTTTCTTTATGATGGTACTTGCTAGTTCTGAGACACAAATCTTGAGGGAATATTAATTTTCCTTCAGAACAAGTTCTTTCCACATAAGCAAAACTTTCCGAAGAATCCTGTGCCTTCTCACCCACATCACTGAGGGATCTTGAGAACTTTAGTGTTCTTCTGGCTTTGGTATTCTTAGCAGGCCTCAAGGCCTGGACCCATTCTGAACCAAAGGAATTTCTCTTTGACGCCTGTAATGTGTCCTTACAGATAACTGTCACAGTGAGCCCTTGTGTCAGAGAACTCTGGCAGTGAGGAGCTTTCAAGACAACAGCAGACTGCATGGAACTGTGGTGACAACACTCAGAAAACACTGCACTGGAACTGCATGCAGAACAGTGGGATAAAAGCACAGAAAGTAAAAACAATTTTAAAAGAGAATAGACATCATAGTGAAGAAATAAAATTTGCATGGGTAACTTGGTGCACAAACCACACATAAAACTGGGCCAACTGTTTAGACCAAAGGCAGACTGAATAAGCAAATGGAAATTCAATAACCTGCAAGCACTAATGCTTATTTCTGGTTGCACACTGATCACGGCAGCATCTGAAGCAGAGTGTTACCTGCAAATGTCCTGGCTGGAAGGCGTGATAGAAGTGCGAGAGAAGGTGGACACTGGAGCCGGAGCTGATGCTGATGTAGGACTCCCAGCCTGCAATGACAGACCTCTGGTCAGTGTTCAGGAAGAGCCAAGGGGACCATGTGCACTGTCTCCTGGACAGTGTCGGGCAAAACCCCTAGAATTATCTGCTATTTCCTGCTGTTCAACGAGTAACATGTATTAGGTCCCTCTAAGCCTAGGCAAAACAAATCAAATAGCACTATTCTATTCTTAACTGTGGATAAAAGTATAACCAAGAAATGTCTGAGGCTATAGTACACCACTACTAATCTCCTGCAGGTCCAGGGGCCATTTATTTTCTAAGCATCTAAATTGAATTCGTTCATATATAAGTGAAGAAACCAAGTACTACAAGATATCATGCAAATGTAAAAGAAATATGTGGCTCCAGGCCTGCCAGCACAGGGTTCCCCAGCACTCTCATCTAGTTCCTAAGATCACCAAGGCTGGCAGATTTAAGAGCTCTCTCTTACCTCACAACCTCATGCACAGTGCCAGATGCCCCTGTGCTCCACAAAGCCTCACTGCCCTGCCACAGCTCTTCACACAAAAGGGAGACCAGACCACCTGACCACAGGGGCTACCAGGGGCTGAGGAGGAACACAGAACGCTCCCAATAGGTCTAATCTTGGAACTGTAAACTAAGAAAAATAATCAAGAAAATTTAGATTTGAAAGAAAGTGCAGCGAGAGGTCATAGGATAGAATAGAGCCTCTAAGGTGATGAATGGTCAAACTTAGAGAAAAAAATCTAGGAAAGACAGGAAGCACCTCAGTGAGGAGAGAAATGGACAGAGAGAAATAGGGACAGTGAGTGCCGCTGAGCTGAGGATACACCACCACCACTAGAGGGCCCCAGACACCCAAGCCAGCCTCGGATTCCCCAGACTCCACAGCCCCCAGACCCACGAGTATTCATAAAAAAGCATTCTTCCCTTCTTAAGATGGTAAGCTTAAATGAGCATCTGCTCCATGCAACCCCAATAGCCCCAGGAAAACAGTCCCACATGTCTGTTATCACTGGAAAGGCCACATCACCAACCACCTTCTGCAGGCCAACCTGCATGGCCCTTGGCCCTAACTCCTTGATACAACGGAGCTCCACCCTGGCCCGCAATTCCCCGGCTGAGGCCTAGCCCCAATGTTTCTAAGTGCCATCCCCAAGGGTGCATTCTCATCCTGGAACTCCACTCATGGGACCCCTGACATTGGTCAGTCACCAGAACAGATATGGCCATTGCCCAGAAACTCCTCCTCCCCCTCCCTCTCGCAGCAAATGCAGCAGCCTGGAGAAAGCTAGGATGGCACTCGAATTAAGGTGCCCATCGCACGGTTGCTCCCACTTCCAGCACAGAGATTAAACACCACTTTAATCCAAGTCCATCTAAAGAAACAAGATCCACGAAGCTCCTCGTCAGCATGCTGCAAGTGTATGCTGAGATCATGCCGCACCACTCCATGAGCATATCTTCAAATTCACCAAAGAATCTACATTTATTTTCTAACTGAATGTGCATATGGGCATGGGGGATATGGTCTTTAAAAGCATTCGAAGTCAAAGTTCTTAAGAATCTAAAGTTTACTTGGAGACATGAAAATAGTATCCTTGAAATAACCCTCCCATCACCACCTTTGTCAATATTCTTCCTAAAACAATGCGGGAAACATCTTAGGATGCCTGTGGACACTATGCTGTGACATCCCTTGCATCCTCTAGGTCTGACTGCATGAGCCATTGTCCTCTTTCTCCAACTGTATTAGATACTGTCTTCTTTTTCCAGCATCGTCCTCTCAGGGCACCCATCACTGGCTCCACCTGCCCCAGAGACGAGCACTCAAGGCCTTTGGTATCATGGCCTTTACTGTTTATACCACAGGGGAGCAGGTTGAGGGGGCACCCATGCTAAGGTCCCCAAACTCCTACAATCCCCCTGTTCTCTGACATTTAGTCCTTACACTATTCTAGGACTGAAAGCCTTCCTGAACTTATTGCTGTCTTCTGTTACTTCTGAGGATGACCAGCTCTGTTCAACATACAAACGCAAGGCTGAATTGTGTCATGAAGACCACAGCCTGATCATGGTGTACGGCAGAGAAGTGAGCATCTTCATCACCAGTTCCCAGGTAGACTCTGAGGAACGAATATCCAGCAATATTCACATGCTTGCCCCTCATTGCTATTAGGTCACCTCTTTTTCCTCTGTGTTGCTGGGTCAATCTTACTCCCTGGAACTGAAGTATGGAAGGAAGCCCCCACCCTCCAAGTGATGGCAGCAGAAGAAAGTACCTAGTCACCATCCTCCCTTTTAGCTTAGTAAGAGCATGGTCCTCCTGGAACCTTGTGTATGTTCCTGTATTGTGAAGGGAAGGCAAACCCTGTGGGAGGAGGTGGCGTCTTATCTGGAAAATGGTGCCCAATCAGGGTCAGTGTCCTGGGGGGAGGTAGGCTCCTGATGGGAAACTAAATTTCTGAATTCCAGTACTGAACTACAAGTAATTCATGTCAAAAAGGTACTCTGGGACAGGCACGGTGGCTCAAGCCTGTAATCCCAGCACTTCTGCAAGGCTGAGGCAGGTGGATCATGAGGTCAGGAGATTGAGACCATCCTGGTTAACATGGTGAAACCCCGTCTCTACTAAAAATATATATTTTTAAGATTAGCCGGGCATGGCGGCATGCACCTATAGTCCCAGTTACTCGGGAGGCTGAGGCAGGAGAATTGCTTGAACCTGTGAAGTGGAGGTTGCAGTGAGCTGAGATCATGCCACTGCACTCCAGCCTGGGTGAGAATGAAACTCCATCTCAAAAATAAAGGGTACTCTAAGGTAATGATTCCAACTTTGCCTGCCCATGATGAGGAGGAGCAAGGCCTGAAGGAAGGAGGGTACAGCCTTGTAACAGAACAGAGCCTGGACTGAGGAAGCAGCCATACCAGGTGCACACGCGCCAGGACATGTGTTCACTTCCCTGTGTGGTTTCCTGTGTGTGTGCACTTGTAGCTGACGTCAAGGCCAGCATGACAGTGACAGTGGACCCAAGGAGGAAGGGAGTTCTTGCAGGGCTGAGGAGATTCTGCCCTGCTCAATTTTACTTAGGAAACAGGAAACAGCCTTGGCATCCTCTTGTCTATATTCCTGCTCTCATTTCACATTTCACTCTTTCCAATCTTATGAAAACACTACAGGATATTCTCAGCAGGTATGTCTAATCCTCATCAAGCCTCTTAATGACAGAGAAAGGGTCTCCCTTCTGATTAGATCACAAAACTTCAAGAAAAATTTTAAAATCTACTTATTGTTTTACATAAATATAAACTTCAACATATGCCAAATCCTCCAATAAATCAAGAAAACCAGAGAGATTTGTGGGGTCATCACAGCTCCTAGAAGAGTCTCCTTCTGTCACTAAAGAACAGCAAACATTTCAAAGGTTAGGACAAATCTATAGGCAGAATGGGCACCAAAAACAATTTTAAAGAGGTTTATTTGTTGCTGGTATAGATAGAGCTGAGAGAAATCCATCAACCAACAAAGATCTAAAAGACTGGCCTGATCAACAACAAAATAAAGCTGATAGTTTCAAACATGGTTCCATGGTCAGATTCTGGAAGCCAGTGTAGTCAAAGGCCAGCAATCCCCTCTTAGGAGCTCTGCAGGATGGGACCTCAACTAGATGGGACAGGACTAGCCATCCTGCTCTTTCTGAAAGCAGCAGACAGTGTGGCACGCGGGAGCTGGGGCAGTAGTAGCCTCAGTGATCCGTAACACACAAAATCCAGAGAACACCTACACCCTACTGTCCATAGGATCAGACCACACACGACTCAACAGTTACTAATAAAAGTACAAATGTTCATCATGCAAAAATCCAAATGTGTCAAGAAAACTCAGGCCCTCTGTTCCTGAAGTTTTTTGTGCACTGTCAACTGACAGACTTTCCAGTCATGAAAAGGAATATAAAGCAATCTCACTACAATAAAATTCCTGTAAAAATCCGCTCTTCTTAAGAAGTTGTAATTAATTATGCCAAAACAAACCTCTGGATTTCTATCCAAGTGTAAATACCAGTTTATTTCTTAGAAATGACAAATACTTGGCTGGGCGCAGTGGCTCAAGCCTGTAATCCCAGCACTTTGGGAGGCTGAGGCAGGTGGATCACGAGGTCAAGAGATCGAGATCATCCTGGTCAACATGGTGAAACCCCATCTCTACTAAAAATACAAAAAAATTAGCTGGGCATGGTGCCTGTAATCCCAGCTACTCAGGAGGCTGAAGCAGGAGAACTGCCTGAATCTAGGAGGCGGAGGTTGCAGTGAGCTGAGATCGCGCCATCGCACTCCAGCCTGGGTAACAAGAGCGAAACTCTGTCTCAAAAAAAAAGAAATGACAAATACTTATTGGCAAATTTGTTTTGCTACATTCAAGTCTCTCAGTGGCTGGCTTTCTTATCAAATTCACTGTTTTAAATGATTTTAACAAGACTTCCAAAGAACATATGGGGAAAGAAACCTTTCTATACATCCTTGGCAGAAACTAGCATTCCCCTTCTCTCAGTGCCCTCTTAGAGTGCCTGCTATCACTGGAGCAGCTATGGCAGTGTGCTTACCCAGCTGACGTTGCACACCTCCTTCTCACTGCAGGGCACCAGCATGCCTTCCTTGGCCTCTGGTACCTTCTACCAGGTTACTACCCAGCCTCCTCTATTACCCATGCTCCCCCTTTTCTGTGCAACCCACTGACAGGGCCTTCTTTTCACTTACCAGCAAAGTTAATTTTAAACATTTAGGTCTCAAGCCCCTAACAAAAGCAAACTTGCCCATCTGATTTATCTTCAAAGGGAGAGGATCATAGGAATGGTCTGTTTGGGTGAGCTTGTTTTTAGGCAAAAAGGAACGTGAAGAGAGGTTGGATAAAGATGGTTAAGAGGCGATCAGAGCTCATTTTTACAACTGACCTCAAATTACAGTACAGTCAATCAATGACTTGATAGAAACAATAGGAAAAGATGAACAGACAGCTGTCAAAACATGA